GGTTCAAAGTGGGTGTTCTCTTAGAAGACGAATGAGAAGGGCCTGATAGTCGACTTCAAGGCCCGTATGGTTGCGCGGGGTTTCTTTCCAAATCCCCGGTATCGACTTCCACCACTCATCCGCAGCGTGCCCGTCTGCAGCGTCTATCAAGACGGTTGTTGCCGTAGCCACTGAAAAGAGCAAGAACTCACTCACTGGGATGTGAAGCAAGCGTACATCCACGCAAAGCTAAAAGAAGATATATACATCAGGTTCCCGGAAGGCTGTGGTAGCATGTCCGGCAAGGTGGTCAAGGTTGAGCGTGCCCTGTATCGCCTAAAGCAGAGTGGCCGTGAGTGGGGGTTTGAAGCTGCCGATGCCCTCATCGAGAATGGATACGAGCAGTGCAGGGTTGACCCGTGTGTCTTCCGGAAGGTGGTGGATGGAGAGGTCGTAGGTCTCATCGTGATCTACGTTGATGACATCTTAGTGGCGGCAGACGAGGGAGAGCGGGAGGAGTTGTTCGCTTCCCTCAACAAGAAGTTTCCGGTGAAAGATCTGGGGGAGTGTACCTGGTACGACGGGTGTGCTATCGTCATGGATGTAGAAAATGGCATCACCAAGCTGTCCCAGACAGCATACGTTGAGAGTATGCTGAAGCGGTTTGATGTGACCACGACCGCTTTCACCCCTGCTGCCACCGATGCCGACCTAGGGCCGAAGAGAGATGACGAGCCCGCGGTGGATAAGCCTGTGAGGGAGGCGATCGGATGCCTGATGTGGACGAAGCTGACGAGGCCAGACATCGCCCTGCCTCTGAACAAGCTCCAGAAAATCGCCCAATCACCCACCGGGAGGATATGGAACGCGCTTGTGCGGATCATGTCCTACCTGAACTTCACGAAGGACTTCGGCATCACCTACGTTCGGGGGTCAGGACTAGACCTAAGCGTGTTTGTGGATGCCAGCTACGCTGACAACGAAGTAGACAGGCGTTCTACGACCGGGCTAGCTGTGACCGTAGGTGGTACCGTAGTGTGTGCATCCACCAAGACGCAGCCAGTGACGGCTCAGTCGACCTCGGAAGCAGAGTATATGGCAGCCGGGGAGGGCGTGAAGGAGGCGTTGTTTGTGCGTGGCGTTCTGTCGTTCATAGCGCCCGAGACCAGTGGGGCGAAGATCAAGGTCCTTGAGGACAACAAGGGGGCTCTCGCCATGNTGACCGTAGGTGGTACCGTAGTGTGTGCATCCACCAAGACGCAGCCAGTGGCGGCTCAGTCGACCTCGGACGCAGAGTATATGGCAGCCAGGGAGGGCGTGAAGGAGGCGTTGTTTGTGCGTGGCGTTCTGTCGTTCATAGCGCCCGAGACCAGTGGGGCGAAGATCAAGGTCCTTGAGGACAACAAGGGGGCTCTCGCCATGTTCGAGAACCCGTTCAGCTCAGCGAGGAGCAAGCACATCGACGTGCGGTTCCATTTCATTCGCGAGCTATTCAAATCGGGCAAGATCACCGCAGAGTATGTTCCGACTGGAGAGCAGCACGCCGACATGCTGACCAAGGTCCTTGGCAGAGAGAAGTCAGAGTACCACCGGAAGGCTCTGATGAACCTACCGATGTAGTGTTCTCTTGCTCTGTTTGGTTTATGTGGTGGTTTAAGCACTTGGCATATATGACCATGGCACGTCACGCAGGAAGCGTTGTGCCGGCGCGTCACCCGCGGCTGGAGCCTAGAAACGCCGAGAGCGTTGCTTCGGGTGTGTAAATCAGCGTGACCGGTTCAATCTGTCCTGCCTTGGTCTTGTCTTGGAAGTGCGGCCATTGGAGTCCTCCGTGACAACGACGGTTTTCTATATTTAGGGTGTTAGACAAGGGTTTTTGATCCGGTTGGCCGGGTTTTCCCTCGAGCCTGTTGTTGTTGTGAGTCCCTTTGGTAGATCAGGGGTATCCATGCCCCACGTTAGGTTTGCCATTCGCGTGCAAACCGGGGAGGGTGTTCGTGTGTTTGGGTACGGACTGGTTAGATCTACCGGCAACAACAGAGGGCACGCAGATGGGGCATATGTACACGTTGAAATGGTTGCATGTGCGGGGGCCCCTCGACCTCCAAAGAGGGCTTCACTTCTCCCTATTCCCCCTGCGTGTCTAATACAAGAGATAAAACGTTTTCCCCTTCCAAGTAAAGGACATATACGAACATTGTGTACAGCGTCTCGCGGCTGGCTGTGGATGCTGAGGAGATGAAGATTTGTTTGGCCTTATTGCGAGAGAACATACAATCGGCGCGAAGTTCCTGATGTTTGCACCCTCACAGCAGTGCCGAATACGAATGAGCGGTGGTAATTTTGTGTTGGGCCGGGTGTGGCCGCAAAAACGTACCGCTGCCGGTCGTGCTGTCTTTGGGACCCGCCGGCATATATCATCCGCAGTCGTCGACGGCGACGCGACAGCCGTTTTCGTCGGGCCCCAGTGGCGTTTATGGGTCTGCCCCGGTAGACAACCAGAAACCTGCAGGCCAGACTGGACCCATTTATCCCGTTTTTTTCTTCGACGACTCTGGCAAGAGCGGCGGCAGCACGCACGATGGCGTTCTTGCCAAAGTCGTCAAAGCAGAACACGGGACCAATGGGTCTGGTGTGCAGGTTTTTTTTTGTCTGCCGGGGGGCAGACCCATAAACGCCACTGGGGCCCGGCGAAAATGACTGACGCGTCGCCGTCGACGACCGTGGATGATAAATGCCCGCGGGTGCCGGAGACAGCACGCCCGGCAGGGGTACGTTTGCGGCCCCACCCGGTCTGCTTCTTTCTCGTCATCCCCCATGTTTTGCAAAACGTCTCCAACTTTCTTCCAACCATTGCTTGCTGCTCTACCGTGCCAGAAAACGGTTTCTTTTAGGCAAACATCTCCACGGCAACGAAACAACGAAAGGCCTTGTAGATTGCTGATAGATTCGGCGGCTGCAGCGATGAACAAGACCTAGATCGAGCCTCTTCATGCTTGAGTTCAACGGCCAACAGCCTACGGCCAACGGCACAGCAGCATTATCGTAAAGCTCTGCTGTGGCATCCTTTGGTATGAAGTTGGACACACGAAGACCCGACAATTGTGTCAAGATAAACGACGCACTCACCTCCGCCCATCACCACTCACTCCTCAGGAATGAGGATGGTGGGGGCCTATGCCCCCCCGCACCCGGAGACCTTGTACTTTCGACAACCCAACGCATCGGCCACTGCGCCTTGCCACACCTGCCCATCTTTGAGGTGGTTCTTTTTCCGGTAGAGCAGCTCTTTCTCGCTCTCCCTCTCCCTGGCCTTCTCCTTCTTCTCCTTCATTTGGGACGTGTTCTTCGCCAGCTGGTTCATCAGATTCAATCGGAGGTGCCCGTCCGGTCGTGCCCCCCACCGCGGAACCCGATCGCCACTGAAAACCATCCACAGACGGTCATCGAGTCCGTTGTCAGGTAATGTGTACCAGTGAGGGGTTTACTTGAAAGACATCAATGTGCGACAGCGATATTCTTCTTCAAGAGAGCCACGTTGAAGAAATGGGCTTCTCAATCACGGCGCCCGAACAGGTACAAGGAAAACCACAACGATAACGCACTCTGTGCGAAGCAAGGCACGCACTCCACAAACAGCTCCATTCTCGCGAACATGGACGAAAACTCCCATCCAGTAATTCTCGTCCACCATCCGGCACCTCGTACCAGAAAAATGAACAAATATTCTCTACCTTGACGTCCCGTTGCTTGCGTTCGTATTGGTCTGGCGCCCGCTCCACGGCCTGCGTGGCAGCGTTCAGTTGCCTCACGACCTCCGGCAACCTTATCTTGAGAATCGAATTATTTGATCATCCCTGGCTTGCCCAGACGACACGGCTCGGCGTTCTTGCCTCCGTCTGTGCCATATGACAGCCACGTAGTGCACCCTAGGTGGCAGCACCTCGTGTCGACGACGTTGACCATGTCTTTCTTCGAGTGCTGAGAACAGAAGTCCGCCTTTTTGCTGCCGGCTGTACCAAATGACGGCCACGTAGTGCACCCAGGATGGTGGCACCGCTTGCTGTGAACGATGACCATGTCTTGCTTCGCGTGTGGACAGCAGAACTCCGCCCTCTTGCTGCCGGCTGTACCAAAGGATGGCTTTTTAGTGCACCCTGGGTGGCCGCACCTCTTGTCGACGACGTTGAACATGTTGAGAGCAGATTTCCGGCCTTAAGCTGCCGGTCTTACCAAATGACGGCTGAGTGTTGCAGCCGTCCTCCTGGCAGCACCATCGTCCCTGTCCATGGCCTCTGGTGGTCGTACGCGTTGACTGCAGAAAGCGGTTCAAAGCATGATCGAGGACAAAACACGTTCCATATCGAACAGGCGTTGTTCTCAACAAGTATACGAGTGACACGTGGCAGCAGCGAAAACCAATTCAGCACGAGGCCCCGCGATGAAGTGCCTTTCCCTCGTTTCTATATTGTTCAGACTTGATGCTTCAAATCCCGAGCTTTAATCGGGAGGATAAGCCTGCGGTGTTCCACTGCAAACATGTACAGCAGTGTGCGTTTCGTCAAGTCCGCGTTCTCCACTGTCCAAGCTTGCGGGAGACAGCAGTTCGATGCTGAAAACAACAAATTTTCCCGTACGGGAGGACGTCACCGATAACCCCCCTCATGGCCTCCCTCGGGTTGTTCTGCCTTTGGTCTGTATTGCGGTCGGCGCTTCAAGCGCGGTTTTCTCCACAAGACGCTGGCTTTGGGCTTCAGACGGAACGTTTCAACCGTACGCCACAAGTAATATACACTCCTGGACAAGCGGGCCTGACTGAACGTGAATTTTGGGGAGACCCTGCCTCCTTACATTGATTACACTCGAAACAAATCCGGGCGAAATCGAAAACCAACTGCTTCGCTGCCCGCACCGAGACGCGGAGTGGGTTCGCCGTTTCGAGTCGGCCATCAGGTAGAGAGATCAACGCGAGCTTGGACGGGGCCAAGTTGGTATCAAACACGTGTTCGTGCGGTTCCAATCGGTCGCGCTCACCACAGGAGGAGCCAAGTTCCTCGAATGAAAAAGGAACGCTTCTACACCGCCATGCTGGCATCCAGGAGTCACTAGTCGCGAGTCGAGTGAATGCGGGTACCGTGGTGACTTCTCAGCTGACAGAAGTGAAATAAGGTATATGCAAAGTGTGCACGGTCGATTCCCCTTTCCGTTCCTCTACACATCCGAAACCAAACCCGCAAGAGTGTTCGTCTGGACCGTCGCAAAAAATAAAGTTACTGGTGTGGCCTCGCGAGTGTTGAAAGCGCGACCGACGTCCACTCAGAACCGTTGTATTTTAGCACTGGGTAACAGTGTTGCCGGTGCTTGATACCACTAGCTGTGCAATACTGAGAGGTTGCCTAGTGGCGCCCCTCCCGAACATACCCTATTGCCAAACCAATCACCTCTCCGGACAGTAGGCAACGGTTAGTGACGCAACAAACCCAAACTAAACAGCACGGGCCGAAAGCGTAGTAGCATATTGATTTGTTCGCAGACATGGGGCTGATATCCGTAACCAAACTCGCCGGCTGGTGTACTGCCGCCCCACCACCCCCTTCGCATGGCCCTTTCATCCCTGGAGTTGAGGTCTTTCGTTGGCGCTTGGATGACTCTTGTTTGGAGCTGACAGCCAAGCACGAACGGCACAAGGGCGAGGGGTATCACAACACCGACGGTAGAAGGAACGGCACGCATGAAAAAAGGGGATCCAGATATGAAGCGAATCGGTTAGGACATCGGGCAAAAAGGTTAGGTCGTCCGTCAATTCCATTCACTTACAAGGTTTTCGCAATTTCCCGTAAATGTCATGGATCCAGAGTGGGCCGTCTTCACTTTAACGCAAAACACACAATCGGCAGAGGTCCCAGCTACCACAAATAGTGTGAAAACACGTTCCGGAAACAATCGAAGGTAGAGTGGCGCGTTGATGTGCTGCGACCGAGCTGAGCTATCGACACTGAGAAAACACAGATGTCAACGGGTAATCCATGGGTCCGTCTTGAGCCCCATGCCTTCTTTCTCCCCGTCGGGATGGAGAGCGGGAGAGGACATCCACGAACAGCTGTTGTTCGATAAATCGAATCAGGTAGAAGCTGCCAAATCTACGAAAGCCCTTGCCTTCCGGGCGTGGGCACGAATGTAACATGGGCCCGAACAAAGAAGAAGTAGAACACCAATGCGCGCTCATAACGACTTGCGAATACAAGCAAACTGTGCAATTAATGTGGCGTGTCGGTGTTCTGTGATAAACCTCAAAGCACACTATGTACCGCTGATAAATGAAACCATACCACATTATGAGGGACAAAATAACCCAGGACACTTGACAGGTGCGTGTTATAACCGCGGTATCCGGCTGACTAACGAGAGACACTAATCTATTGAGGGGAAAAACTCGTCCACGCGATGGAATAAGGTCTGGAGGTTCCCTCGATCGTAGGGTCGCAGAGACGATTGGACAACAGAGCCCAGTCTCCTTATGCAAACTACCTGCAAAAGAGTGTTCGTGGGTATGTATTGTGTGCGACTCCCAGGCAAGCATCGCACAGAGATGAGCTCCAATACAAAAAACAACACACACACAGCACCCGCATGGTCATGCAAAAAGCGACAGGCTCCGGTCTTGCGGGTATAGACGAATCTGAAGGCTGAGTCGACGGCAGAGTAGGTTGGCCTGGGGTACTTCCCGTCATCAATATTGGTGACTGTCTTAGAACTCCCCTGGGAGCGAAATGCAGCTACGAGAGACCAAGCCATCAGGCTGTGACAGCAGCACCACTCACATGCATGCAAGCGCTCGTTTGGAGGGGGGAGCAGGTCGAGCTCTAAAGAATTCGAAGCGGCGGATGTTCGTGGCTTTCGAAATCGACGTGCCGGGTTCTATCCGCTTTACACGAAGGATACCAATGGAAGACGCGATATAGATGTTTTGGGGTCTCGCCGTCGGTGTTTAGCCACGTATGAGAAAGTGGGCACGGCAGGCGAACACTTTCACTCACCGCCTCGGAAACGCAAGCATACAAAGATAGGGCTAAATAGTGGGATATGGAAGCGACACGCCCGCGGCTTCTGCTCTGCCTCTGGTCCGTGGTACAGTACAATACAGTACAGTACAGTACCGTACCGTACAGTATAGTAGAGTACAGTGCAGCAGTACCGAACAGCACAGATACAGGCAGTGGAGCAGCTGCGGAAGGAGAAGGAGCATCAATCGTTCATTTGCCAACGAGGCTGTGACACATGGGCCCACCAAACAAACTAACACATGACGCGGCTGGCATAACATCACTGCTGTTGCTGACCTCAATTCGTTGCTTGCTGTGGTGGTTTAGAGGGGGGGCGCAGAGGAAGAAAGAGAAACGGTTTCTTGCCGTTGCGATGTACGGGAACATCGCACAGCAGGAGGGATCTTTGCACTCCACACATGATAGGAAAACACGGGCCTCAACCCATCACCCCCAAATTCCACGCGCGTGCTGCTCCAATCGTAGTTGGTGCAGCTACAGTTGGCTGCTGCTGACCAATCTTGCGATTTAGACCTGTGCTCAATGATAGGCAGATAATTTGATGGTACGGTAAAATTGATGGTACGGTTGTATGGTGACTTGTGTGGCTCACTGCCAACAGGGGACATGGAGAGGGGGAACGTATGGGCAATCGCTCGAAGCACAAACAGAAAACAGACCCAGCGATTGCTCGCTCCTGTTCTCTGTACTTCCACCTCAACAAAGCGCTTAATCGACGTCGTAGTCGGCGAGGTACAGCAGTTGCCCGAGAGAAAGACTTGGACGTTTTCTTTCTAGCATGTGCTGGAGTATGCACGGACGTGATCATGCGTCAGAGGAGGAAAACCAAGCATATGTACACAGGAGAGACTTCAGAGTTCTTAATTCTCATTCCTACCTTTCCCTTTTTGACTCATTCGCAGATACTTAATGCCTTTCGTCGAGTCATCCACTCCCAGATTTGGTCTTTGATCTCGGCCAAACAAACTGAGGAATAGACTAGAAAAAGCTTGTTGGTGGACAAACACTCGAGAGCCTGATGAGCTTGGAAACACGCGTGCTGCTGGCTGTTGTACAAGCATACGAAGTGTCGGTGGCGTCTATATTTATATGTAAAATCAATATTCTCGTTATATTTTTCAAGGGTGTACTCGGTAATATTTACCGCCGTGTAATCGCCGCCGTGGCGGGCGGTCCCGGTATTCCGCCGTATTTTTGCCGTTTTTTGGTTTTACGCCGCCGCCAAAGTCGTTACCGCTGAAACGCGTTACCGCCTACCGCCAAAACAAACACCGCCGTATGGCGTTACCGCCGAAAAATTACCGCCGTTGTTTGGTTCTACCGCCTCCGCCAAAGTCGCTACCGCCAAACAATTACCGCCAAACGACGTTGCCGCCGAAAACATGTCCGCCTAAAATCCGAGTTAACCCTTGCTATTTTTCTACGCTCACTCTCCGAATCAAATAAAACAGTCATTCGGTCATCAATATACCTCCGGTTGCATCCAAATATGAGCGCGCAGCTGCTGGACATATCACGCCGTGTATGACCTTACCTCTCACAAAGCCGATGATCTACGACCACGGTCTTTGAAACGAGCATTGCAGCGTAGTGAGCAAAAAACGGCGATTTGCCGCATGCTTTCGCGATTAGAGGTGTGCGCACAACGCTGTTAATAGAGCGAGAGTGTTGGTGTTGTCCACCACTCAAAAGAAGAACCACGAAGTGTATCCACCATGGTCAATTAGAAACTTTTGTCATGACGTCGTCGGTCGACCATAGATTTATCGCCCGTCTTCGGAACGTTCCATGAAAAAAATGGCCACTCAAAATAAAAAAGAGCACCTTTTCTTTCTGGCTGTCAATAGTAGTGTTGAAGCGGCGCTTTGAGGGAACCTTGCCAGCTTTTTAGAGGGGCCCTAGAACTTGGGTGGAACATCTTGAAGAAAAGCAGCCACCACTTTGGACCTAAAGTCAATAGAAATAAAAAAAAATACTCAAGACCACGACTTCACGCGGAATTGATCCCCGCCTCTAGTGCAGAAACTACACTCGAACACCGATATTTTGTGTTACTGCTGTTCACCTTTCCGCTTGGTAGTGTTGTCGGCTGCTGGCTGTCCAGACGCTGTACCGGCAGAGGGCCTTGGC